GAAGGTTGCAAACCACATGATTACTGGCTCCAGCTCGGGGGGGGGGGGGTCTGAACCAGCTGGCTTAGGAAGAAGTCCTAGTGTGTACATGTCAAACTTATCCCCTCGTGATGCCAACGATGCAGATTAAAGTCCACTCTGAGGATCACTTGGGTCTCGCTGATGTAAGGCATAGACAGGTCATGCTTGCTTCATGAGTACAGTGGAAATGTTTTAACATTTCATGGAGTCTATGCAATTGCTCGTGCATAAACATTAGCAAATAAAACAGTAAGTCAAACATGTATTTAAGGTCTTCTTAAACTGACATCTTCAGAAATTTCAGGAAGCCAGATATAAATGAAGGAGTTCATAAACCAACTACAAAAAGTCCCTACGAATGAAAACCCAAGAAAATGGGAAAAAGAAGACAAAAAGGAAATTAACGCAAGTATGACCTTACAGAAGCAAAGGCTGTAGAAGCAGACATATGCAGTGATACCTGGCACAGATTACAGAAAGTTGTAGTTTAAGTGGCTGTTGAACCAAAGAATGACTAAATGCCTTTGCAAATAAAAGTTATTTTAAAAAAGTGCAGGGTGGGGGGTTACTGTAATGAGAAATTAAGTGAACTAAACATCACATTGAATAGGATTGTATAGAAAATTAGAAAACTTAATAACAGACTTGAAAAAAAAAATAACCAGAAGGCATTTGAGAAGAAGAGCCAGAAAAAAAGGAGTGTGTGTGTGTGTGTGGGGGGGGGCAGGGTGCACAACATGGCTAAAATCCAGAAGGTACTAAGGAATAGTAGACAGCAGCAATGGGGTAATGTTTTAATATTATTTGGTGAGGAAAGGAGTGTGGAATTTTGAAACTAACAAAAGACGCTGGTCCCCATCCCAAGAAATTCAACAAATATCCAAAAGAAATAAAAAGAAATGTGAACCTAACCATATCATATTGAAACCAGGAGACACAAAAAGCACAGAGTGGCTTGGGAAAGCATCCAGAGGGAAGAGACAAGCGAAAGAAAAGCAACAGTTAAATGGGAAATTACTTCTCAACAACCAGAGAATGGGTACGAATTTGAGGGAAATAGCTTTGAAATGTCATAGATAGCATCAGGTTCAACTTTTTATTCAGAAAAAAGAGTAAAACAAAAAATCAAATTAACTACATTTTCTGGATGAAGTCAGATTTTTGCCAAGGAGAATTGTACATATATAATTTTGCAAATATGAAGAAGAGTGTGAAAGGCATTTCCATTAAAGTTCTCTATAACTGAGTCAATTCTTTCAATTATTTTGTAAGAAAAAAATATCAGAAGTTGGAATGAACACAACTGTCATTAACTATGTATGTGTGTATGGTTTTATACATATGTGTGTGTATATATGTATGTATGTATATATGTATACAATCATATACATATATGTGTGTGTATATATAAAATAACAGTTTCCATGATGTGTTAGCTTCTAGGTGTATTAACAGATGGTAGGAATTCAATTAGTGGTCTAAAACTATCAACAATGTTAATACTGGTATGGTATTGCAATGGATTAAATCAGAGTTTATTGTGGTCATGAGCTGTCAGGCAAAATAGTTTGCTTCTTTTTGAACCCATTGCATTACAAAAACAAGTGTAAAGGTATATTCAGAAACTGATTTTTTATGCTTAATATTTTAGAAAAATATTTAGTAAACTAGTAATGCTTCAATTAAAGCTATAATGATTAGTATCTCCTCTTACACAAAACTAGTGCTGGGGTGCACAAAGATGGATCAGCATTTAAGAGCACAAACGTTTTTCCAGGAGAACCAAGTTTGGGTACCAGCTTCCATATCTGGATGCTCATAACTGCTTGTATCTCCAGATCCAGGCATCCAATGCCTCTGACCTCTGTGGATACATTCACTCATGTGGATTTACCCACATACAAGCAGACACCAGCATATGCAATTTTTAAAATATTAAAAATAATTTCCAGAAGTCAGAGGGGAAGAGGATTGCATATGCTGCATCATTTTTGAAAGAAAAGAAATGATGACATTAAGAGACTGAGTGGACTTGGGTATGTTAAAGAGACCTTTGCAGCCTGTGCTTATAAAAAACTTGGTACAAAGAAAATTCTGAATTCTGCTGGATCTAAATACAGATGATTAAACGACACCAGAAAAGCCTGGTGACTTTGCTTCCTTTGACCCTTTCTGAGGTTACGCTCTGATAGCCAGTCATCTCTGTGAGGGTAGCAAGTCAAGCAGGAAGCTAAGGGAAGAGAATAAAAGTCACAGGGTGTTAAGCAGAGGGACTTATAAATAAAATCCTATGCCAGAAGGATTTGGAAGAGAGGTGGAAAGAGAAAACACTAAGCTAGAAATATTGTAAGTTCTATAGCAGGAGGGCATAGCAGAAGGAAGAGGCCATGGTCTACACCACAATGTGTCCCTGACCCAGGAGCAGTGTTCAGCTTGCAGACATGAAAGACAGCTGGCTGCTTTTCTGAATTATCAGAGAAATGAGAAGTGTGCACAGTGCCATGTATAGGGTCAGGTACATACATTATTGTCAAAATAGATACACAGATAAATAAGAGCCATATCCTGATCCATCAACCCTGCCTGTCAGGTTCACTTTTTCTCCCCCACCTCTTCTCTGGGATGTACTAATTTCTATTTGCCTTTGAGACTGTCATAGGGCTAAAGCATAATCCCCATGTTTGTGAAGTGACTAGTATTTATATTTCACCATGATGCCACTGTCACAATGTCCCTGGTAACATAGGTATCACATTATCCTCCCAGATATTATGACTCAGCCAATTCTGAGATCACATTTGGAGGGGATGAAACTGTACCACTGAGTCATATCAGGATTAGGGGATGATGTTTCCTGAACAAAGCCACTTAATGAGGAGGTAAAAGAAGCTTTAAGGAGTCACAAGGAGTAGCTTAGAAGAATAAGTCACAGCATGTCTACATTTATATTGACAATGGACTCCAGGTCTGGAAAACCACCTTCAATAGAAACAATGCATTGGTTGGCAACCATCTTGTAGGGGGTAGCCTCTCCAGGGAAAAACAGTTGTGGTTTTGCCCCTAACTCTTCACAAGTTTGATCTTCAGAGATCTCCTAGGAAAGGATGCAGCAGTTACACTGAGAAGGGTACATTTACTAGTCTCCTCCTCAGATACTAGCAAGGTTTGCCAACTGATGCCAGGCAGAGCCCCCGACCTTCACCACGTTTATAAGTGTTCTGCAAATTGTTCTAACCATCTAAACACATTGCACTGAATGAGTACAGTGCTTAGCCTAGCTTGTTCCTGACTGAGATGGTCATAAAGGTGACTGTCATCACTAATAGAATGCCAGGCCTCTGCTAACCACTCCTTATTTTATTTGTTACCATTTGTAGGAAAGGCTCATTTTTCAGTCCTTGCATGGAAGGGAGGGACCGTCCCCTGCTGTGCCCCTTTCTATCTCTCTGTCTCCTTCAGTGAGTCTGGGAGAAGGAAGAGCCCTGGCTCACCTTGATCTCAACCCCACTTGCCTACGGAAAGGATGTGACTTATTCTGTTCTGTATGTATTGAGGTCACCATTTTAGAAGTGAAACCCAGCCTGAGAAGACCCATGGGGCAGGTTGAACAGGTGCTCTGCATTGCCTGCATTAGGGCTGAAGCCAATACTCTGATCCCACATTTCTTATAGCTGCCTTCTCAGCTGGGTCTAACCTGTGGAGGGTGAGAGCAATGCCATTATCTATCAGCTGGTACCCAACACCTACCAGGATGCTGGATAGTTATGGGGGTGTGTTCCCTAAGCTCTCTATTCTAGCAAGATCCCGCTGCTAGGTTAGAAGTTAGCTGATGGCACTCAGCAGCCACACTTAGGGATCCACTGCAACATTTAGCTGACACTGGGGTCTATTTGCAATGGTGACTAAACAAGGGGGTTCTAGAGCCCAGGCTCTTCTGCTCATGGCCAGGCTGATGTCAGCCCTAGGTCAGAGCCTTCCCAGATTTTCTCAGGCTGTACTGCACATAAAAACTCTTCCTAGCTACACCTTTCCCAGACCCTGCAACCTATCCCTTCATTTGTAAGTTACCCCACAAAATAAACCTCCCTTTTAACTACGTGGAGTGGCCTTAATAATTTTACCAGTAATCCCCCTTTCTCCATCCTCTCCTTTTACCTACACATGCTCTGTCTCCAGCTCCTCCTCTTTGTGTCCTTCACAGCCTTTCCTTCAATGAATATACACTCTCCTTCCATAGAGGAGAAGGTGAGTTTTCATCAAGACCCAATGTGACAGCAACAGTGTTACCAGACTCTTCATTTCTCTAAGCACGAAGTAGAACTCCAGGCAAGCAAGCAGAGGATGTACCCATTCTACCATTCAGAAACTATACTCTGAAAACACACCCCATCCACCTTTCAAAGAAAATTTGCCAGACTGTAGGCTGCACCAGGGCTATTAAAGACAGCATCATTCCTTCAGAATCCTGCACCCAAGAGGACTTGCCCATTCACTGGAAAATGCACAGATACACTGGCCTCTAGAAAATAGAAGAGAGATGTTTGCAGCATCATTGCTGAGGTTTGATTCTGGAAACCCTGAAAACATGTTCATGCAAAAAACCAAATGATCCCAATAAGACAATAGCCACAGAACTGCTCATCATATATATGCCTTGACTCTCAGTTCTACATGGTTTGAGGACATCTTGATTTTAATACAAGTCACACAATTTCACCTTATAGAAATGCAAACTACGCTACATAGAGAACATTAAAACTTGTATGTTTTCTCTTTCTTTAACAACAATGACAAATCTGATTTCTTGTATTTACTAAAGATACTGAACATATAAGGAAAGCATAATCAAATTGTTCTGTGGCATTTTTTTAACCCTCAAGAATATCTAAATGTGAAAGTATACACATACTTTACAAATGAAATGAAAGCTTGTTTCCATGGTATAATTTTTGAAAGGAAGCAGGAGGCACAGGACTTACCTTCACTGGAGTCTTTTGAACTTTCTGGTTTCTTCGCTTTGCTCTTCTTGTGAGGTGGAGAAAGGCCTTTAGGCTCTAGCCCTTCTGGAAGTACAAAGATTTAATAATTCTTACTTAAATATTTACCCGTAAGGTTCAGAATGTGTTGAAATTTAAAGATGTTTTCTCCTTAGTAACCCTCCCCCCCGACACCCCCCCCCACTGAGCCTTAACTACAGATCCATCTGTCATTGTGGCTGAACTAAATTTTGGCAAGGAGCTTGGATTCTCCATCTTTCTACATACACTTAAACTTAAGCTCCAATATTTTTCTGTAGACATCATCCATGATTCATACAAATGTCCAAACATACATATGTGTTACTTTAAAAATTGAATAGTTCTGTGTAAGAGAAGTCCAAGAGGTGCTCCTTTACATTTCATGTCTTAGCATGTGCCATTATGCCTTTCCTCTTAGTCTTCAAAGGTAGGCAAAATGAAATAAAATGTCACCTCACTTTTGAGGTGACAGGGCACTGGGAATGATTCTGCTTCTATTTAACATGCTTCTTTTGTAATCTAGACTCTAATAGCACTCTCATATGTCCCTGACTAATCTATTGTGTTTAACAATTTTCTCAATGTTTTCTTAAATCTACCCACAGGGACTAGTAAAGACTGAGAGGAGTCTGGACAAACCCCTCTGTCTACCCCATCTGATTAGGATGTTTGCTGGTTTTGAGTTACAGTTTCTACCTAATCTTTCTGCTGAGCTCAGTGTTGGTGTTGTCTGCCTTTGTTGCATCATGTTTTGGGTTTGGGGCTGGATGTCTGGAGGTCTTCTGTTTGCTTCTGCATTCCATTCTCAACCTGTTAACAACTCTTTCTGCACCCTAAGACAAGACGCCCTGGCTTGTGCCAAGAAAACTCAATACTCTATCTTCCTGCTAGCTTCTGTCAATGGGGAAGCCAAGAAATCTACTTTATGGAATACCGGTACTCTTTGTGGGCTGAATGGCCCCTAAAGTAAGGTTAAAGTCACTATCAGCTGGCCTTCTTCACAGGTTACAGGTCCCAAAGCCACCCTCACTATTACCCCATGCAAGGCCGGGACTTAGGTGTCCTATCCTCTCAGTCGGAATTGTTTCCCCTCATTCAACCCACATCAGGAATCCCAAATCTAAACCCAGTCAGAACTACCCATCCTGTGTACAAACTTCTCTCTGCAGTACTCCATGTCTGGGACAATGGCATTGCATACTTGTAGAACCATTTCAAACTAAAGCCTAGGTATCACCATTTAAATTTGTGCTCATCTGCCCTCCTAAACCAACTGATCATGCCATCTTTGCTCTCACATATCCTATACTTGTCTGTTATGAATTGTCCTGGCACCTGAGTTAGCAGCACCTCTTGCTGTTTCTCGGGTCCTGCTTCTAGCCTTCTAATCTCCTCTTCTAAGAACCTTGCTTCTGCTGCTCCACACTGTGAGCTTTTAGAACATAAATCAGATCTGGGTGCTCCCTGTTTAAAAATCACTACTCCTCATCCTCATCCACTTCCACCGCAGAGCACAATGTGCCACCTGGCCCTGATGACATCTATAGTTTTACCTCCCCTTTGCCTTTCATGTTTTTCTTCAATTTCGCCTTCATTTTTATTTTCTATCTGTGGATGTTTTGTATGCATGTGTGTCTCTGCACCACGTGTGTGCAGTGTCCGAAGAAACCAGAAGAGGGTAGAGGATCCCTTGGAACTGAAGTTACAGGTAGTCATGAGCTGCCATGAGAGTGCTGGCGATTGAAGCTGGGTCCCCTGGAAGAACATCCAGTGTTCATAACTGCTGAGCCATCTCCCCCCCCCCTTTATTTTAATTTTTTGAACCAAGGGTAGGCTGATTCCTGTTCCAGGACTTTTGTTACTGTACCCCACTCCTGTAACTCTAGCACATTCCTGCCTAGTTTGGGGGTTTCTTTTTACTCTTTTTATTTTTCCAGACTAAACTCAATGTTCCACCCCCAGTGGTGGGAGGCAGGGGAGGCTTTCCCTTACCATACAATGTAAAGAGCCTACAAGGGAAGCTTTTCAAAAACACATCATTTGTGTCTGGAATTATCTCACTGCCTTGTTTATGTCTTTACTGTACATTTATATATACACACACAACCTACTCAAAGTTTCATGAGAAAAGGGCACTTCTTTTTTTCACATCCCTCCTGAATCCTTGGTACTGAGAAGTACAGTGAGAATTTTATGTTAGAGTCATTTTATTTTTGTTTCATTGGTTCTTTAAGTCCAAGATATAATAGCCTAGTTCTCATCCCCTTAGCAGCAGAATTCTAAAATTACACTATGAGGCTCTGACTAACTCATATCTCCCCTTCTCTCTTTCATCTATTCAGAAAGAAACAGAATAACAATTTAAAAAATCCCACATTTGATAGATGTACTATTAAAATTTTTGACATCATAGACTACAAAGGTGTGGGGCATGAGGCTAGCTAGGTTTTATGTGGTCACAAGTCAGTCATGGCTAAGGTTATTACCAAGGCCAGGGTGAAAAATATTGCTGATGACTGCATTAGCAACTTCCCGGCTTCTGTCACAGGTGTGAGATGCATGCTGACCCTTTGAATGGTTCAGCAAAACCAGAAATGAGGTCTCTCAAGCGGCTCATTGCATACAAATATTAGGTCCACTGAGAGTCACAAAACAGGCAAGGCAACATTGTGATCTCACCATTAGAAGATCTAGCCCAGTTGTACCCTGAAGAGAGCTATCCTGGGGGCTAGGCAAGAGTCTCCAGAGATGAAAATGCAACTTCAAGCCAGGGTTTCTTACACCTGAAGATTTTGGTAATTACATTCCAAGTTTGTGATTTTCCACCTTAATAGAAATTCTTAGGGTCTAGGTGAAGTTTCCAAAGACATCTGTTTGCCTACATTTAAAGTTTCTTTAATACCCCCCAAGTTCTAGCACTTTCTATTTTAAACTACTCCCTGAGTGTTCAGTGGACGTGGAAGCTTGCTGCATAGAAGGGCATGTGTGAAATTCAAGAGTATTTGATCATTTCCTGATGTCCATGGGGTATTCAAATAAAAGTCACCAATAAACATGGCCTCTGTGCAAAGGTCATGTTGAGGCTCAGTAGGGGAGTCACTCCCTCTTGGTCTGAAGGGAGCTGAAGGAGAAGCTAATAGTGTTTCTCTTTGAAAACAATGTAATGGGCCTTCTTAATGTGTACTATTTTAGGTTGCCTGCTTCTGGCAAAGGCTGGACTCTGGAGCTTGGCCATGAGCATGCCTCCCCCTTTCCTCCCCTCCCCTAGGTGAGCAGCATTGCAATGGTTGACACGGGTGGAGCCCTGCTGGGTCAAGGTCAAGAGTGTGTGGGCATGGAGATGGAAGGACATGGGGAAACATTTGTTGTACTTGAATTAAGAATGATTAAAGGACTAAAGGGAAATTCTAAGTGTTTAAGCCAGCTTGTTTCTTTCAGGGGGAGAATGTCACCTTGAAGATCTATCAACTCTATTTGAGATGCTTCTCCATTTGCTCTAAGGGTCTACAGACCAGAGCAAAAAGTTAAATTACATTAATTCTGGGGTAAGACAAACTTGGATTCAAATTCTGGCTCCACTATTTAAGTAAGAATTAATTGAAGCCTAACACATAATCAAAGTCTTTCTTTGTCAGTTGTTGTGTGAAATAAACTCATGTACATCCAGTGAACTGCACAAAAGAATGCCTAGTTGAAGTCTGGTGTGCTCAGAGGTATGCTAAGCCTGACCTGAGCCAGTTCACACCAATCAATTTTGCTATCTCCCCCAGCTCTCATGTTGGGAGCTTTAAAAAGTGCATGGCTGATAATATCACACCTGTGAAATCATCAGAAGCTTCCCATCGGAACTCAAATCACCCAAAGAGCCAATTGAGAAGCACGATGTTGCTTTTTGATATTGAAGTTGTTATTCACTGCCACTCAATATTATCTGTTATCAGGTTGAATCACTCAAGGAGCCCTTTACTAGGTCAACTGTATTCTTAATCATCTATGTAACTTTCCTGCTTCTGTGAAAAGAGGTGATGTATGGCAGAGGGAAGGCAAAAGAGAATGGTCTTAGGAGAGAGCTGAATTCATCTTGCAGACCAACATACTCCACCAGGAGATTAGAATGAAACCAGCCTGCACAGCAACGTCTGTCAGAGCCAGCTGGAATGCTATGGACCATCCGGCACATGAGTCTCCCATGGTTTCAAAACTTAAACATTAGGAGATGCAAACTAGCTCCCCACACCTATTTTGTCTTGGCATCACAGATCACTGAGTGTGACTTGTCCAGATGTTGAAGGCAGAACTTCCTGGGTATCTGATGGAACTGGAATCAGAAATAATGATAATACTCCAGACCGCAAATGCTGATTCTAGCTTGTGGAGTCCTCCTTCCTTTCAACAATTTCTTTAAAATGAATCAATGTTTTGGGTAACTCTACTTAAGAAGTCAAGTCCCTTTGCCTAGAAATGTGTACCTGTGGCACTGAGGCACATGATCCATGGGACATAAAGCTGGCTTAAAGGGCAGAACCCCTATAGCTGAAGAATCGTCCAAGAACACTTCATGCAAAGCAATGCATGAGAATAACTAAAAATAACACTGGACTTATACAAGTTAATCTAGGATAGATTTTTAAAAATAAGACATGTAGTGGGTAGCCATTCCAGCTTGGTTCTGGAAGTTCCAACCCCCATTGAGATTCTGGCAACTGTCACGCCTACGAGGCGGGGCGAGGGGAGGCGCCAGGGGACCGGAGAGCTGGATGGGTCAGCGCTCTCTCGGTGCCGGGACGCACATGAGAATTGAAGTTTTTATAGAAATTTTATCTTGGGCTTTATGTTTCACAAAATTCAAGCAGAGTCCTTGTCTTAGGTTACATTCCCCCAGGTATAGATAATGGGACAATGTTTTGAGTATAAGTAGCTAATTTGAGAATTAATCTCAGGGAGTATCAGAAACGGATTAATGAAATAAGACAAGAAAAAGAAGACAGAAAATTCTGCATGTATTCATGAAAAAGTCCCACTATAGTCATCATAGGCTAAACTCTATTGGTGACTTCTTGGTAAAGATATAGAATCATGATGTTTAATATTCCAGCTTTATAAACATTTTCAGTATTTCAGAACTTGAAATGTGCTTGGTTAATCTGAACCGAGATGTGCATACAAGATATGTATGGATGTCAAGGGTTTAGAATTAAAACTTAGATATCACATCTAATAGAATTTCTATATTAATTATAGGTTGGAGTAATAATGTTTTTAGATAATTGTGTTATATAAAGTTAATTTCATTTATTTTTTTAACACAAGTACTAGAAAATATAAAATTACATATGAAGCTCATATATTTCTACTGGTTATACAACACAGCCTAGAACTTGTCTTTGGTGTGTGTGTGTGTGTGTGTGTGTGTGTGTGTGTGTGTGTGTGTGTGTGTGTGTTTTGCTGAGGTTTGAACCAATGTCCTTGTACAACAACTCTCACTGAGCTATACTACCTCCACAGGAATCCTGGGAAACTAACCCTTATCCATCATTGGTTGGAAGGGTGCTTTATCCATCATTGGTTGGAGAGCTACTTTAGAGAACATTGAGTTTTCTTACATGAAAAGAAAAAAAAAAACACTCAGCTGAGGGCCATAAGAGATATCATTAGGAAGTTTCCATTCAAAGCCAAGAATGAGTGCTGAGGGAGCATAGGCAGGTCACCAAAAGAGACTGCTACAGCCCCTCCTCTGCTCCCTCCATCCCTGCTTCTAACTTTCAGATCTTTCATCCACTTCTCATATTAGCTGAGTCTGTTGCCTTTGTAGAGAAGGGAACCTTATAAATCAGACATGTCTAGACTGGAGAAGAGTAGGGAAAAGCTGTGGTTATTGGTCCAACTTTTAAGAAGAAGGGAGCCGATGCTACATCTGGATGTAGCGAATGGATTGATACAAGAGGGACAAAATTCCACTAATGCTGAGAAGATTTTTTTAATAAACTCCCAGTTAATGAGACCCTTCACATCAGAATTTGAAGCTCTGTGAAATGGAACTGCTGAGACCAAGATTGTCAGTAACCTATAGGGGGATGCTCTGGCATCAAATTGTAGACTACACAAGACTAGAATCTTTGAGATATCTGTTTTACAATTTGAAAGCTGGCCCCATTTCATGGCAAAAGCATTGTGGTTGTTGAAATGGAGAATATGGGCCTCTTAATTATATAATTAGTTCCACAGATGAGAAAAATACAACAGAAAGTAACAGCTTAGTGAAGCTTTACAGAGAGCCAAACAAAATGTGGCAGCATTTAAGGCACATTATCTCATTTAATCTTCTAACTGAAACAATGTGGTGCCCCAGAAGTGAACAATGAATATTGTAGAAAGATATTCAAAGTCAACAAAAGGTGTAGCTAGAATTGCATTTGGGTCTACTGATCTATGAATCAGTATTTATGGGCATAGTGAGTGGCTCCCTTAGGCCAGAGCTCACACTTTTAACCACCAGGTTTCCTTGTGTATCAACCATTGTTGAATGATTGTCTTATATCTTAACAATGAGAATGGTATGTGCTATATGGTATTCATCAAATACGGCCACAGGCACAGTGGATGCCTTACAAGCTGGGATGAATCACCACCATCTAGAATGCAGGAAGTGATGCTATGGGATTTCTCCACCTTAACCTTAAGAAGGTGAAGTATCTCTCTGGCTCATTGGCTCTTTCAAGACAAAATCAGCTGGCCACCATGTCGGCAGGACTTCTAGATCACTTGGAGTATTCAAGTTTGGAAATAGCCCCCAGTAAGGCTTCAGCTCATAGCTGAGCCAGCCATCACCCAGACAAGCAATTACAAAATTTTTGGAATAGCCCAACCCCTAACTGAGGCGCAGATCTTACAGAATCGGGTGAATAAATTTCCTCTACTCTGGAATTCTCAGACCCAGCTTATCAGCAAAATAAACTGTTGTCTTGAGCACCAAATATGGTGATGGTTTCTTTACAACTCTTCTGGTTATGCTACAACATAATGTTTCTTTCTTTTTTTTTCCTTTACTCTGTCAAGAAGGTCAAAGTTCACTTTAACGCTTAAACATAGTAACTGTATTTGCCTAATAACTATATTTGCCTAAGAGCTACTATAGCTGCTTCCCAATTATGATGTTGAACACACATTTCCATTTTATTGATCTTATTCAGTCTTTCTTTTAAAATTATAGGATTTGACTAAAGAAAATTGGTTCCCTATGTTATCCCAAGTAATAAAATCACAGTCTTAATACCTGCATCTTCTTTCATGTCAGCATCAGCTGCTCCTTCATTGTTATCATCTGTTGGAAAAGGAAAAATAAAGACTCAGATCAATGCAAGAAGCATCAGAATGTTCCAATTTGACTCATCAAATAACAAAAGGGAAGCGGAAAGCAGAGCACTAAAGCAGCCATTTCTCCATACAGGAGCACCTAACACCGAGGGTTACATTCCTTTTTATAACAATATGTATGCGCCATCGTTTGTTTTATTTATATGAAGTATGTGTGGTCACATTGGTCATTTCAGTTCCTCAAAACTGTTACACATGAACTTTAAATACCATGTATTTCACACTCTGGGAAAGTATGTGTGCTTAGCTACAGTGTCAGGACAGAGGGCATACTGACATTTGGTTCCTGCACTGTGCCAAGAGAAGTGCTGCTCTGATGTAAGGCAGACCTTCCACCACCTGCTCCCATGGACCCAACTGGTAGTCTCATTTCTGTCCAATTCTTTCATTTCCCATAATAATAACTTCTACGTGGACAAGGATGTGTGATTCCTCTGCACTTTGATGACATGTTTGCTGAGTAACTTCTTCTCTGTCTCTGTCCTCTGCCTCCCTCTCTCTCCCACACTGTGTGTGTGTGTGTGTGTCTGTGTGTGTGTGTGTGTGTGTATGTGTGTGTGTACATGTGTGTATTGAGAAATGGTCTTCCTATGTAGACCAGCTGTAATAACGCCATGTAAAAATTGTCCCAATCCTCCTGCCTCAGTTGCATACCACCACACATGGTTGTACTTACTCCTTTGAACTCACAGCATGTTATGTCTCTCCTTGAATGCTCATCACATCTAATACTTTGGACTGAATGCTTACCACCTCTTTATATGTTGAGTCCTTTCTCCAAAGTCATGACTTTTGGAATATAATTACATCACCAAGATGGAGCACTGATGAATGAGATCCCTTGCCTTAAGGAAGAGGTCAAGGAGAGACCCAGTCTCTGCTCTTCCATTAAGGACGTGGAGAGACGATGCTCTCTGTAAGGAACTGGGCCCTAGCAGGCAGTAGAATTGCTGAAATCTGGAAAGTGGACTTCTAGCTTGTGAGAATAAATTTCTGTTTTATAAGTCTTTTCATTTATGGTATTTTTTTACAGCAATCCAGACACTCAATCCAGACAGTCAATGCCTCTATGTTTATCCACTCTGGTCACTTTACTCTAATTCTAACCCTCTGCCTTAAGAATCTTGAAGGTTTCCCAGTTGGTCCTTTCTGTTTCTTTCTCTGACATACTTTCTTCCCTTTAAGAGTGGCTACCAGTTCAGTTTTAATACAGTTCTGCTCTGGTCTACAGCCCCCGTGCAAAGCACAAAGCCAGAAACTTCCCTCTAATACGTAAGGCCAACAATATCTGGTTCCTACTGGCTTCTTTACTTCTGTGACATTGGTGTTCTCACCTAGACAGATGGCAACACCCAAGTATTTTCTGTTTCCTCAAGGTATCATTGCTGTTACTCATTTTATGTTGCTGTCACAAAATACTTGAAGCGGGTACTTTACGGATACAAGAGGTTTATTTAGCCCACAGCTTTGGAGGATCAAAGTATAAAATAGTGTGGTCCCACCTGTTCAGGCCTCTGTTGACAGCCATTGGCTATGTCATCATATGGCAGATGGCATCACAAAATAGGTGCACGCACATGTTAAGAGTAAGCAAGTTGGCAGGGAGAGGCAGAAACTCTCTTTCTCTCTCCTATAGGTATGGAATCTGAGCATTAACCTAGTCCTATGAGGACCACACTACCTAGGGTAGTGCCCACATGATCTAATTGTCTCTAAATGGCCTAGAATCTCAGTACCATTATCCTGGGGACCAATATTCTAGAGCACAGACCTTTGGATGATAAACAACAGTATTTTCCTTTAACTTCCTCTATCTGCCTCATTCCTGTTAGTAAAACCATCTCCCTCTCTTGTCATCTATACCCTTCAAGACTGTTTACATTTTCTGATGCAGGGAAGCAGGGATTTCACCGAGAAAAGCAAAAGGCAGCTAAATCAGAAAGGATGTCTATGAAGGCTTTCCTGATCATCTATTTGATGAAAATTTGAATTGACTGTATTCTTTTTTTGTGGACCTTATTTTTACTGTCTTTTTAATATATATTTTGAAGACATTTGATCAGGTCTGCTTACTGGCCCTTCAGCCCATGTTATCTTGGAGAAGTTGCCCATTCTTCCTGAGTTTCAGATTCCTCAGTCAAAATGAGTGATGATAACAATGTCTATTACATAGACCTGTTCTGAGGACTGAGTTAGATGGTGCCATGCAAAGCACTAGAAACATCATCAAGGACTAATTATTTCCATAATATATCACAATCTAGCACTTATGAATATATCTGCCTTCCAAATGCCCACCTCATGAATACTATGGAGATGAAGATCATGTCTTGTGTTCTCTTGTTTTTCTTGGTACCCAGCACCATTCATTTTATGTAATAGAATAGATAAAAACGTTTCCATTAAATGGCCAAACCACAAACAAATATGTAATCTTGGGAAAGTGACATCAAACAATACAACCCTCAGTTTCTTAATCTGAAGAGCAGGGGTAGTAAAGTAACCAATTTCCTACAACTGGGGTGGGGGAGATACACACACACACACACACACACACACACACACACACACACACACACCTTGCACAGAATAAGCTTTTAAAGCTACTAATTATTTGGTGATATGCACTGGTATTCTGCTCTGCTACTTTGGTAACCATTTAGTAAGCACTACTACATATAAGAAGCATAATAGTTCTTGAAGACTGAAGTTAAGCATCTCCTTCTTCACAGAAATCACAAAGTGAGTCATAATGAGCAGACCTGAGACAGAAGAGCAGGAAATGATGGGTTACTGTAGGTGAGCAGAGGTTCTATCACAAACACAAAAGAGGAAGTCCATGGATACTTTCTAGAGGAGGTGAAGGGTCACCTAAAAGGCGAGCTGAGGATAACTTGAGGTAATGAGATCCAAGAGTAGGTCACCAGAAAAGGTAGTCTCCTGACTACATATACTTGCTCACTGACACTTTAAATGTATTAGACCTTGGCCTCTGCAATATGGGTCCCTTGTCTAAGAGTTTTCTCTGGTTCTGGTTTCTACAGCTGAGCTGGCTAAAGAAATTCTATACAATGAGTATGTCCCAGGAGTCAACCCACCACACATAACTGACAGCTCCCTGTTTCTCAAGCTCACCCACAAATACCCCAAGGTTGTTCCACATGATTTCCATAAGTCTCTTTTCCTCATGGAACTCAAAATGTTTGAACTTGAACTTGAAGAGAGGTAGGGTGTAAATGGTTTGGAATTTAACCCAATGACTTTCTTCTTTTTCCACTCTCCCTTCCTCTCTCTTCTGCTGGTGTTTCCTCGGATTGCCTTTTAACAAAGTATCTCAACATTTGAATCCTTGCTTCAGGACAGGCTTTGGTTTCTATTTATTTGTTTATTTTTATTTTTAGCACACTCAAACAGAGGAGAAACTCTTGGAAATACATGTACATGAACAGTCAAAATACCTTCAATGAAATGAAATTAGTTCTGAATGGCTGAAGGGCAGAGCCTGATAATCCAAAGTTTAAGTGGTCTTTTCTGGCTAAAGGTCCTCCCTTATCAGGTATAATGGTTCATTTCACAAGCCATGTGACTGGGCCACAAGGTTCCTCAATATCTTTCTGTGTGTGCCTCTGAGGGTGTTTCTGGAGATTACCACTTAAACAGGAAGACTGAGAAAAGTAGATGGCCCTCCCTTAGGTGGATGACCATCAGGAAATCATAGGAAAGTCCTCATAGGACAAAAAGGCTGACCTTCACCTGGAAGAGGGGCATACTTCATAGTCTACTATCCACAGTGCTGGCTTGATGGTTCTCATACTTGGATACTGTTTCTTCTCTACCTTTGAATTCAAACTGAAATATTGCTTCTTGTTTTGTCTTAAGCCTACAAGTACTCAGACTAGAACAGTGAGTGATCCTCAACCTTCCTAATGATTACTATGACACTTTAATACAGTTCCTCATTTGTGGTGACCCCCAACCATAAAATTATTTCATTGCTACTATATAACTGTAATTTTGCTACTGTTATGAACCACAATGTAAATATACTATATGCAGGATATCTGACATGCAACCTTCAGAGGGGTTGTGACCCATAGGTTGAGAACTGCTGAACAAAAGTCACCATTGTCTTTCTGGTTCTCAGGCCATTGGCCTCAGAGGGGAACTGTGCTACCTGTTCTTTGGTGTTACCTTCCTGTCTGAAGAGCTGGAGATTTGTCAGCCACCATAATTTTACAAGCCACTCCTTATAATAACTACTTTCCGTATGTGTATACACAGGTGTATCCATCTGCTTCTCTAGAGAAACCCTAAGAAAAGATTTTTAAAAGAAAGAAAATCCTGACCAATATGCCAGCATTTGAAGTTTATGGTGAAAACTAGAATAGCTAAACAACTTTAGGAAGAAGAATGATGCATCTAGTTTTGAAGGACAACTTTTTTTCTTTATCAGAGGAACTTACCGTGATATCATAAGATGTGTGCTTTTATATTTTGCTATTTGAATTAAAATAAAAAGAAAGTACTTTTGGTCTGGAAAGCACATGATGTAGTTGCATATTAATTAAATTCACCTTGCTTCAATATTCCGTAAAATGTGCTTGCTTGAATCATATTTACAAACTATTTCTAAGAGGGCTTCTATTCCTAACAATACTAGGAACCAGAGTGACATTATATAAAAACAGATGATAGCCTCCAGAGATAGGGAGTCGTGGCACTGAAAATTTGGACATAGTTAGTGGACTGATGGAGCGTGGGCACAGAGCTCCTGTCCTTTTATGCAGTTTTTCAAGCTTCATACGTCTTTGTTAGAGGACAAAAATGCAATAAAAGGTCTCTAGCCAAAGAGATACAAATACCATTTCAAAACAGAGAGCAATCCATCAGATGGTATTGTTCTGTGTGTGCACAAATGCCAGTCCCAGAAAACTCCCCTTCTTTCCC